AAAAAAAAAAACAGGTTGGATGGAGTGAAGAAGGAAAGAGGGAGAAAGACTCTAAGGGTGTAGGCTCCCAGGAGCCTGATCCCTGCCGCAGCATGAAGCCTCCTGCTGCCCCTTACCTCCAGAGACCTCTGCAGAGCCTGGTAGTCAGAGCAAAGCTGGTCCATTTTGTTCTGGTGGGTGGGATTCCCCTGGATGAGAGGCTTCAGAGCCTCCACCTGTACCCCCAGGTCCAGCCCCTCTTCCCGTAGTCCCTGCAGAAGAGAGAGGAAGGGGTGGGCTGTCTTTTTTGCTCTTCCATATTGGGGGCTGATCAGGGTGGGGCCTCTGGGTAGGACAGCCTGGGGGTAGGGAGAGAGATTTCCCCAGGGGGCCAGGGCTCCCCCACCCCAGTGACCACACCACATGGCTGGTCTGATGGGCCCCCTCTTAGCAATGGAGATTTTTTTTCAAAATCAGACAAAAATATCCCAGGACACCATGAAAATAAACTCTGCTACAGAATAGACTGCATCTCAGGGACAAACTACTCACAGCTGGACTGGTACTTGTCTTCTTGTTATAAAGAAGACTATCCCAATTGTGTTGCCCCAAATTCACCATCTTTAACATCTTTCTAAGAACACTCTCAATTTATGTATGAGCTGTGCTTGAGTTTTAAAGAGATAAATGTGCATCACACGCATTTTAAAAACTGGCAAGCCCCTAATCCAGCCAGCAATCACCAGTGACCAGCCTACTTACAGTCCACAAGTGTTTTAAAACATTTATTCTTCACCAAATTGGTTTAACTGAAAGTCTCTGGACTCACTAGGAATAATTAATAGCAGAGAAATTTTAAAAACAAATGCCAGTGTTACACTTTGGAACTGAGGAGTAAGCAAAGAGACAGCTTATCATTTTGTCAGGCTCAAGAATTAGTAAATTGAGGCCAGGAACCATCAGATAAATAGGCGGAGATTCTGTTGAGATGAAAGGTCAGATCTCAAGGCAGAGTCCAAATCCCTGGCTCAAGCCAGCTGCTGCTTTGCTGGTTACTGCTAGAGGAAGGGGATGTTTCCAGGTACAGCTGAGCACCTGGGCAGGGGTGACTCGGGCCTCACAAACCCTTACCTGCAACCCCGAGAGCTGGGCCTGTTTCCCAGGAAGGTCCCGCTGCAGCCCATGCTCAGCTTGGACCCTGACCTGGAGGTCCAAGAGCTTCTCCTGCAAGGGCTTGAAAGCAGCTCCAAAGTCTTTGTGTTGAGCAAGCAAGCTCTGCAGAGACACAGACCGGGCAGCATGTACATTAGAAGCTTTCCTCACAGGCATGTCGTTGGAAGTCCTGACCCTTACAGCCAGTCTTGGACAGCTCATACTGACTCCGGTGCCACTTACTCTATGGAGCCTTCACAAAATCCTGATGGGGTTGGCTGCCTCTCCTTAGAGCCACCATAGAATCCTCACATAACACTTAGACCACATCCCTCTAGAACAGGGGCTGGTAAGCTACATCCTTCCACCCACCAATCAAATCCCATCAGAGGCCTGTTTTTGTGAATAAAGTTTCACTGGAACGCAGCCACACCCATTCATTTACAGCTGCTTTCATGGCCCAGGGCCAGAGATGAGTAGCTGCAGCAGAGACCACCTGCCCTGCCAACACCAAAACCGTCACCATCTGGCCCTTCCCAGACACACTTCTCAAACCCTTGCTCTGGAATAGCACTGTGATGCCGCCTGGAAATTGCCTATGTATTTGCCCTCACCACCAGACTGGGAGCATTTAAGGGTAAAGACCTTGGCTTTCTTCATGCCCCCAGTTCCTAGAACTGTACCTGCTGATGTGGCAACAGGGCACAGGAGCTGAGCTCGAGAGCGGAGTCTGCCTCTGCCACCCATAGACCAGGAGTTACTTCCTTGACCATCCTGCCTCAGTTTCTTCATGTATAAAACAGGGAAAGTGAGACCACTTTCCTCATAGTTTTCTTACTTGGATAAGAGTGATGATTTGAAGCTCTTAATGAGTTCCTGGCCCATAATCCATGTCTGTAGATCAGAGCTATTACTGTCATCACCATTAGACTCAGCAGACATTGGTTACATAAAACAATAAGCTGCTCACAACATGTCATGCCTGCCATGTCTTTGACTTCAGGTAGTCATTTAGAACTACGTCACTGATAACGCTAGCTTCCAGCTCTTTGGTGGCTGAAAGTTTACAAGTACTTTTATCTGCATTTTCTTATGTGACTGTCCCCCAGCTTTCTGCAGAAAACTGGGCTTGCTTCAGTCCAACCACGAGGCAGAGAGGGTTGGAAGGCAGACAGGTGAGCAGAGAATCAGTTAGAGGGACCACACAAGAATCCTACCCAGTTGATACATGAGGAGCCTGAAGCAAGTGGCGGAGCTGAGATCAGAACACAAGGTGCCCGCCTTCCTGGAAGGGTGGCCCCAGACCCGTGCCAGGCCCGAGTCCTGAGCAGATGCCCAGTGACGCCCACCTGCAGTTTGCTTTTCCTCTGCAGAAGACTGTTATGCAGCAGGTCTCTGTCCCTCACGGAACTTGCCAACTGCTCCAGGAGAGCTGTGGCTCTCTCCTGGCCAAAGACGCTGACCAGCAGCTCTCTCTTCAGCTGCAGCATTGTCAGCGGCTCTCTCAGGCGGGCGCTTTCCGTCAGGGCTGCCTGTGGAGACAAGGCCTCCATTAACCACAGAGCTCGGGAGCGGAGCCAGCAGCACACCTGTTCTGGCTGCAACTTCTCAGGAAGCTGCACCTTTGTGCTGGTGTCCGAGGAACAGCAAACCTAAACAGAAACATGAGCTGGCAGGAATGCGCTGGGCAGATCCTGAATGTCAAGGCCAACTTTTGTTCCTCTCTCACCCCCCACATTCATCTTGGTACAAGTATCCACCTCCTACATGTCTCAAAAAGCTGACACCTCTCCGTCGCCACTGCTGCGGCTATGGCACACCCTCAGCCTTGCAGTCAGCCCCCCAGAATTGACCCTCCACATTGCAGGTGAACCCAGACCTAACCAGTTAGATCTTCTATTTGGTGACCACCCCATCACTGACAACCATGCCCTGCCCCCCAGCAGTGTTTTGGACATTCTGAAGGGGGTTAAGGGCCTGGGGAGCATGATCAGGAGGAACCTGGGAAGACTTCCCAGAAGGGGTGGCCCCTCAACAGAGTGCTGCTAAGGGTGATATGTGGGAGCTTGCCAGACAAAGAGGGGACCCAAAGTGAATCAGAAGCCTCATATAATGGCAGCTGGATCTCACGCAGCCTGAACTCTGCCCTCCTTCAGGAAGCCTGCCCTGACCTTGTTCCCAGCCCACACTCACTGTGTGTGCCCCAAAGCCCGGCAACCCTACAGCCTGAACCAAGCTGCATTAGCTTAGCACTTCTGGCTTCTCTAGCCAAGGATCAGGGATTCTAGAGATTTGTCTTCAACTAGCAAGAGCCCTTCTGTTTTATACCTGATGTTACTTAGAACTCACTCTCAGACGTAAGACACTTAGGTGGGCATGGGACTGAGAGAGGAAGAACTAAGATTTTAGCTCAGGCAAGTAATGTCCATCCAGACAGAGAATGATCATTTTCCTAAGCAAAGTCTGACCTACTGCTGTGGGAGTTCAAGGCAGCAGTGAAAATTCCTAGTTGAGGAATCAAATGCTGTCTTGGAGGAGGCTATGTAACCATGGCTGACGCAGCTATTCTGGTGTGACCTGCACGTGAAAGCATTTGGCTGTGCCAGTCACAAGGACATCGAGCCTCTCCCTGGAGGGAAGTCACCTTCATCCCCTTTTCACCAAGCCCAGACACAGTATGATGAGGATTAAGAAGTTAGTCCGGAAAGTTGCAATTGTGAGTTTGGATTATGTCCTGGCTGGGAGGCCTTGGGCAGTTCTGAACCTGAGTTACCTCTTTTGTAAAATAGGCTCCCTGGCTCCAATCCCTCACCTGCAAAATGAGGAGGAAAATGGTAGAAATGGAAACCAAAATATGTATACCTAGACATCCAACCTACATTAATTACAGCAGTGAAAAATGAGAAGCCACCCAAACCTCTAACTGTGGCTCCATCGAATTATGGCATGCTCCAAAATGAAATGTTATACCATAATGTTGTCACTTTTATTTGAACAATTTTAAATTATGCTGAGAAAAACCTCAAATGCATGGAGCGAAAATATAAGAATAAACAACTCTATAACATGATCTGAAAAGCACAGAAATTATAATTAATTCATTAAATCTTCTGTCTGGTCTCGGCATCTGTGGCTCAAGTAGCTAAGGAGCCAGCCACATACACCTAAAGTGGCAGGTTTGAATCCAGCCCGGGCCCGCCAAACAACAATGACGGCTACAACCAAAAATAGCCGGGCACTGTGGTAGGCGCCTGTGGTCTCAGCTACTTGGGAGGCTGAGACAGGAGACTCGCTTGAGCCCAGGAGTTGGAGGTTGCTATGAGCTGTGATGCCATAGCACTCTACCCAGGGTGACAGCTTGAGGCTCTGTCTCGAAAAAAAAAAAATCTTCTGTCTGTTGGTCACCATACCTCATGGAAATGCCTAGATGGATTTTATCACATATAAAAAGTAGGTTGGGATTTTCTGACCTAAAATTGAGGTTTGTGGCACATATGAAGTCCACTTTGGGGAGCCCTGAGGAGTGCCTCAGAAAGATGGATCATCATCCTTTGGAGCATGGAGGGGAAGGGGCCCAGCGGACCCTTGGAAAGAAGGGCTATACCCCAGTTTACAAACTATGGAGAGAGAAAATATATCCTTATTCCAACATGAGCCCCAAATGGAAAATCACAGGGTAGACACTCCAAAAAGCAGGCATGGGTCTTTGCTGGTGTAGTTTATGCAGGAGGAACAGGGTCCAGTGCTGGTGACTGGTTCTCCTCATATTACCAAGTCAGACAAAAAAGTGATGAAGAGAGTGCCCAACATGCCAACAGTGGCCCTATGGCTCAGAATATTATGGGAGACTCGGCACCTGTACTCAGTGGTTAGGGCGCCGGCCACAAAAACCAGGGCTGGCAGGTTTGAATCCAACTTGGGCCTGCTAAATAACAATGACAACTACAACAAAAAAATAGCTGGGTGTTGTGGCAGGCGCCTGTAGTCCCAGCTACTTGGCAGGCTGAGGCAAGAGAATTGCTTAAGCCCAAGAATTGGAGGTTGCTGTGACGCAACGGCACTCTACTGAGGGCAACATAGTGAGACTCTGTCTCAAAAACAAAAACAAACAAAAAGAACATTATGGGAGCTTTCTTTTTCTTCTTCACACATCTTTTCACTCTCTGAGTAGGGAGGCCTTTCCTAATCAGAATAAAAATTAATCTAAAACAAGGGCTTACACCTGACACGTTTGCATCTCTTTCTACTCTTGTGTTTAAAAATCTCTAGACACGGGGTGGCACCTGTGGCTCAGAGGAGTAGGACATTGGCCCCATATGCCAGAGCTGGTGGGTTCAAACCCAGCCCTGGCCAAAAATTGCAAAAAAAAAAAAAAAAAAATCTCTAGACATAAGAGCTTTTTATGGATTTTGGAGCTCCATAACACAGGCAGTATGTATGGGCATATTGGAGCCACCGTGGTGACAGGCATTGTGCCAGCCACTGTCAGCTGCTCATTACACAGACCTCCTCTTTTTCCCACACCAGGGTTCTGTTTGCGTGGCAAAGTGCCCAGTGCCAGAGCGATGAATGTAATTGATACAAGACATCACCCAACCCCACCCTCCTCAGCTGGTGCTTGGTCCAGGTGTCATCACATGACCTTGACTGACCAGCAGTCGAGGGATGTATGCCAGTCCTCTGAGAAGGGTTGTCTCCCTGCTGAAGGGCGGACATGGCCATGAAGAGCGCCCCTGTGTGTATATGTGGTATTCATGGGGTGCTGTATGTAGGGAGTAGCAGCAGCCATCCTGGGGCCATGAAGGGAGACCTGGCTTAGAGCTACACAGGGCCTGTGGTCATGGTACATGGCAGAGGTGTTAAGTTGGCCCCAGGCTGCCTGAACATCGCTGTGTTTGAAGCCACTGGTGTCAGATTTCTGGTTCTCTGTGGCCACAGCAAAGGTAAGGACCTGATACACTGCCCCCTCTGGCACTGCTAATGCTTCCCAGCGGACTGCCTATAGCAGGGTCGCCATGGAAGGGGAGGTGCCTATGGGTGGGGGAGAGCCTGTGTGGGGTCACATGAGGCAGCAGGCTTCACCTTCTACTCAGGAGCCAAGAAGATGGCCTTGGTCACTGCAAACAGACAAGCACTGACACTTCTTGTATACTTAGAACTTCCCAGACATGCTGCCATTTGCTCCTCCCAGATGTCTTTCCCTGGGAGGGTGGCTGAAAGTACCACACCTGGCCAGTGGCCCACCCCCAGCCATACTGGTCAGCCCTCCCAGCAGGACCCCAGTTACCTCGATCTGGGGCAAGAAGGTATGGAGGGAAGGCAGGTCTGGCAGGCTGGTGGTCACCTCCAGGAGCCGCTGGGCCAGGGCCTTCCATAGCTGTACATCCTGCAGAGGCCGCTGGAAACGCTGCCATAGCTCTGTCCCTGCGGCATTGCGCAGCCTGGTACTCTTCCCCTTCAGACTGTGAAGACCAAACGTAGGAGGGGAGAAGCCGAGAGAGGAGAGAGGAGAGAGAATGGGCTCAGGCCAGGGTGAGCCCTCTGTTGGACCCAGAGGCTCAATTAGCGCTGATCGCTCCTATCCCACTGTCTGAAGCATCTGCGGCAACAGACTCAAGATAGAGATGGAAGATCAATACGAAAAGCTGCCTCGGGCCCTCCTGAGGACAGACACTGGGGCTCCCTGGGGCCTGTAGGCACCTGCGTAAATCACATACATGAGAGCCCTCTGCTTCGGACCAGGTGTCTGGACTCAGACAAAGCAGCTGTGTGACCTTAAACGGCTTAACAGCAGTGAGCCTCTGTGTTCTCATCCATAAAATGGGCAATGCAATACCCCTCTCATAATCTCTGGTGAAAGTAGTAGATGAGAAAACAGATGAAGACTTCCAGTAATAGACTAGTTAATGCAGACTGGTCCTCTCATTGAGGACAAAAATAAACAAGCAAAATGCTTGATCAAAATTTTAAAATTAATAAATAACAGAAATGTGGCTCTAACATCTGAAGCTACGTCGCTCCTGAAGGCATTTGTCAACCTGGAAAAGGAGCTGCAAAACTGAGCTGGGTCTGGGCAGCCTCTCAGGGAAAGGACCCAGCAGAGGTGGCAGATTCTGACAACTGCACCTCACATTAAGCTGGGACGACCTCAAAGGTCCATGTCCTCAGGGTAAAAGTGCACTGCAAGCAGGACAGTCCGCAAACAGACTGACAGCCCAGCCTCATGACCGGGGCAGTCACAAGCCTTGAAGAATAATTCTGGAGACTCTAGATGGGTCCTGCCTGCCTCCAGGTACTGGGCAAAAAAATGAAGTCTTCTTTGAGTAAAATACTGTCATAATGCCTATCTAATTAGGCCTATCTAATTTCTACAAAATAATTTTCCAAATGTCCAGCACCCAGTCCTAGATAACCAGCACCAAAGAAAACAGAGGCAGAGAATGAGCCTTCCACTCCATCCCACCACTTGCTTTGTACACAGGAAATCCAACCTCCCACTCCCAGCTGTGTCCTGCAGGGGACTGAGGCCACTGTCCCAGTTTTACAGATGAGGGGCCTGAACACAGCTGTGGAGGGTGAACGACTCACAGCAAAGGCGGGAACTCCCTCTGTTTGTTCTGAAGGGCCCCCTGTGTCAGGCAGAGGCATGAGCTGCCTACAGCTACCCGGACAGTTGTACTGTATTCAAACACCTCTGAGAACCACATAGCGGAAACAGTTACCGATCCTAAACCTACGCTTCGCTCATTTCCACATCAGAGGCTGTTTGAACTGCTGCTGTTTGCTGAGCTAAGAAACCAAGGGTCCTGCTGTACGTGCGCTTCAGGCTGAGGGGTAGGCGGAAGCCAATCTGCGGACAGCCCAGTGTTGCACAGAGGGCAAGGGAATGGGGTTTGTCTACTGAAAAGCCCTCCCTTTGCACTACTACCCCTCCCAACGGTGAACTGCATAAGGAGATGAGATAGAAATGGGTGAAACGTGCCTCTCATGGACAAAAGCAAAGTTCAAGCCTCTGTCCAGGAGCAAAATGCAAAGCAGGCACAGAGAGTAGTGTGTGAGATCCCGTGATTGCCAGTGGCTGAGAGGTGCAAGAACTTGTAAAGAGTCATCAGGCTACAAGAGAAAGCAAGCCCGTGTTCCAGAGATGGGGGAAATGTGGTCCGAGCATGTCCTGAGTCTCACCTGCCTCGGCCCTCCCACGTACCTCTGATACTCCTGGATGGCAGCGACCACGCTGTCGGAGAGTGGCTGCAGGTCATGGGGGAAGACGATGACCTCCTTCAGCTGTGCCTGCAGCCAGTCCACCCGGGGCTCCTCTGAGGCCAGCGCCGCCCGAGTTGCCTATAGCACATGGAATAACACCCAGGGACAGGGTGAGGGTCCTCAGTGGGATGGGAGTGCGTACAGACGGGTGAGTGTGGCCAGTAGGGTGGGCCCAGGGGAGAGAACATTGTCACCAAGGGCAGGGAGTGGGGGCCCCACCCTCAGCCCACTCCCTGCTCTCCTGCCTCCCACTCCTGGTGACCTGGAGCCTTTCCTGTCACTGAGCTACAGTTTTGCTCTTACTCACCGCTGACCTCCCAGCATTGCCATGAGGAACACCAGTGCCTACTAATACAAATAACATTGACTTCTAATGCTGAGTGCTGCAGGTGACCCATTCATTTAAGCTTCGCAATCCTAGGAGGTTAGTCTCCAGGTCCACATGGTATTCACAAGGAAACTCAGGCTATGAGTTTTCTGGGGGTTGCAGTGCCCCTAATTGGTGGGCCTGACATCACAGCTGGGCCTTTGCATGCAGCTAAAGGTGCCCTGTGAGCCCTGCTGTTATTCTTGGCAGACCTGGAAGATATCTGCACTGACTATTCCCAAACTGCTTCACTCCACTGTGTTCAGAGACTTCAGATACAGTCTTTTCCCGCTCCCCTGACAAGTTTGGAGTTTGACCTTGACCGGCCCCTTGCTGGGAGGCAGGCTGGGGAGAGCATGGGTTTTGACACCACACAGAGCTGGCCTGGAAACCCACCTCTACCTTTTCCTAGCTGTGTGACTTTGGGCTGTTCCCTTATCAATGAAATGGGGCCACGCTTGCCAACCAGGTGGGCTGTGTGGTAGTGACAAGGCAGTTGGTACAGAGAGGGGTGCCATGGGGCCCCCCGGGAGCCTGAGCAGGCAGCCTGTGCTTCTGCCTTTCTGGACAATGCCAGCCTCTGCCCAGTCCCTCTCAGCTTAGCCTGGGGTGACCTGGGATGAACAGGGATCAGAGTACTAAGCCTCAAATGGAGGGACTTGAGGCATCGCCGAGACAGCAAGGGATGCCACGTAGGCAGCAGGAATCTGGCCACCAGCCCTGTTCATCCTCAAAGATGTTCCTTCCGCTATTCAATTACTTAGCAAATGTAATGACGTCTATGAAAGAGTTCAAAGAAGATCAAACTCAATCTGTCGGTATGAACAGGCAGCTTATAAACCATTCATGAAGAAGCCCTGCACGGCAGTATCCGGAGAGCAGGGATTCTGCCCAGGTAGGGCCAGCAGGGCCGTGTGCTGCCTCTGGAGAGGGGCCTGCCCAGACCACAGGAAGGCCAAACACTGACCTGAGGCCCTCAGTCCTGAAAGAGCCACAGCAAGAAGGAGGCTGCCCTGTGGCTTGGTGACCTGGATAACCACGACCCCTCCCACCCCCTTTTTTTTGAGACAAAGTCTCACTCTGCCACCCTGGGTAGAGTGCCCGGGCATCATCACAGCTCAAGGCAACCTCAAACTCCTGCGTTCCAGTGATCCTCTTGCCTTAGCATCCTGAGTAGCTAGGACTACAGGCATCCGCCACAACGCCTGGTTAGCTTTTCTATTTTTTTTTTTTTTTTTAGTAGAGATGAGTCTCACTCTTGCTCAGGCTGCTCTTGAACTCCTGAGCTCAGAGGCAATCCACCCACCTCAGCCTCCCAAAGTGCTAGGATTACAGGCATGAGCCACTCTGCCGGACTATCGCATGACCCCCCTGAGGCTCAGCTTCCCTGCTTGTGAAACCACAGGCAGGTTGTCTGCCGTCTCTCCCTTCAGCTTCCTTGTCTTCCTAGGCACATGCCATAGACGTATATATAATGCCATTTTCAGTTTGCCAACTGCCTGGGGGCCTAAGAAGGTGAGCCCTGCTAGGTAACTGTATTTCCTGACCCAACTGGATCAGCCACAATACCACCTTGATTTCAACCTCAGCTGCTCAAAGTCTCCCTGAAATGGGTGACAGTCCTGCCCTGGTCAGCAGAGGGACATCACAAATCACTCCTGGCCCCTTCTCTATGAGGAAGGTGGAAAGGTCAGCAGTGGTCACAGCCTGATGATCACTGGTGCCCACATTCCTGTCTCTTTCATTGTTAATTTTCTAAAACTGGGAGCCTGAGTTGACAGAGTGACATGTCCTCTTGGCTGGGTACAATGGCTCATGCCTGTTCCAGCACTTTGAGAGACCAAGGCACGAGGATTGCTTCAGACCAGGAGTTTGAGACCAGCGTGGGCAAGAAAGTGAGACTCCGTTTCTACAAAAAATATATATTCAAAAATTAACCAGGCATGGTGGTGGTTCCTGTAGTCTCAACCACTCTGGAGGTTGAAGCAGGTGGACTACTTGAGCCCAGGAATTTGAGGTTACAGTGAACTAAGTTAATGCCACTTGACTCCAGTTTGGGTGACAAAACAAGACCCTGTCTCTAAAAAAACAAAAAAATTAATTAATTATAAAAAATCAAAAACTAAAAAAAAAAAAAAAGATGTGCCTTTGGGTCAGACTGGTTGGGTTTAAGTACAAATCCTTGCCTCCCCTGCAGGGTGTATAAACACAGGAAAGTTGTCTAACATCTCCTGTTTCAGTTTCCTTCTCCACACAGGCTGTCAGACCAGCTCCCACTGGGCAAATAAAAAACCTTTGCTGTAGTGATTTGGGAGATGAACATGACCCTCACAGACACTTGTCAGGTGTTCTTTCAACTGATGCCCTAGCAAAATACACTTTCCCTGAAGTTTGCCTGCTTCTATTACAAAAAAGAAAATGGGGAGAGGGAAAGTCTCATACACACACACACACACACACACACATATATATATATATATTTTTTTTTTTTACAGGATGAATGCTAGTTTAAGAGCTAAAGTGTTTAGTAATAAACTCTGAAGTTCCCTTCCATTGATTTCTGGTGAGATAGGACTTGATCATAACTGAAGTAACACCTGAATCAGATTACACAAAGAGACCATGTAGGACGGTAGTTTTAGAAACAGCCCAGTGTGGGCAAGTACCTGTGGCTTCCCTAAAACTCCCTGAGATGGAACATGGCAGGGCTTTCCTAGTATTCCCCGTTCCCCGCATCCTATGTGTAGCTCATGGTAAAAGCTGATACTTTCTGAGCTCAGAGTTTGTGGCAGATGCTATCTGAGCATGTTTTCTGGCTTTCCCATGTCACCCCATTAGTTAGCAAGAAGAGAAATCAGGTCTTGAACACAGGCCATCTGGTCCTAAAGTTCCTGTCTTTAACCAGCACACTGCCCCATCCCCAGTGCATACTGGGGCAGAAGGTCCTAGAAGAGAGATAGTTCTTTGTGTGGGGAGATGGTCATCGCAGGGCAATCTTGTCTGATGCAGGATTGAATGAGAAGAGAGCCCTGAAGTGTGTAAACACTTGGTTTCTTCCTATAAAAATATTTTTTTCACATAGGCAAAAATTATAAGGGAGAAAAAAACGATAGAACAACCATGGCAGAGTGGAGGTAAGATCTGGGATGACTTTCCTTCTAGATAGTTCCTTTAATGGATTCATGATACTGAGTTAATAATAAATGAAGAGGGGGTGGGGAGAGTTGTTGATTCTTATTTCAAAACTCTTTGTCCACAAGTCAAGCCTCCCATGAGTGCACACAGGGCAGGGAAGGGCAGCTGTCCTCTGCCTGGACTTTGTGTCTAGGTCTGGAGCCGACCCTGCCCTCCTACTGTGGCATTTGCTACTGGACCCCCAGGACCCCCATCAACGTTTGTTCCTTATCATCTCTACACTAAGAGTTTCCCCTTTTGACCTAACACTCTCCATCCACAGAGGAAGCATTTTCCTCATCTCACCATTGGGCAAGACCAGTGGCTCTGAGGCCCAAACCTGGCTGCCAATTCCTCTGGTCTTATTAAACACACCAGCTTACCACTTGGCCCTGGAGTTGTTGGGGGCAGGAGGAAATCTCTCCAGGCCTCAGTTTCCTCATCCAGAGAATGGGAATAAACACCCAATTTGTCTATTACCCCCTCAGGGAATTTAGATGCCAAAGACCCAGAATGTGGGTCTTGTGAGTGTGCTCAAGGTCTAGCAAGAAGCTCAGAGCAGCAGCACCCCAAGATACAGACAGCACCTGGCCTGCCATGTGGAGGGGCTCAGCACCTCACCAAGTAGCGTCTCCAGTGGGCCACCAGCTCATCCTCTGTCTCCACCTCCACCGGCGGCTCCAGGCCTTCTTGGGCCAACCTCTGCAGGCCCTCCCTGAATTCCCCCAGCTCCGCCTCCAGCCGTCTGATGTGCTGCTCACAGGCTCCCCTGGATGCCAGCAAGCCCCGCAGCCTCTCCTCCTCCTCCTCCCCAAGGACGCGCAGCTTCTCCAGGACTTTCCTCATCTCCTCCAGTTCCCCAGTGATCTTCTCTGCACCCAGAGGGGACGTGTTCTGAATGACCCCCACGGACTGCTCCTCCAGCCGCTTCAGAGACTCCTTGCCCCGGGGGAAGTCTTCGAAGATCTCCTGAAGGGGGGAGTAGTAGACAGGAAAAAGTGTGTATGTGGGGGAAACAGCAGGCTCTGCATTTTCCAGAGCAGACCTGGGAATGCTGTGCAGAACACTAATTCCTAGATCCCTGCCTGGGTTAGAGCCCAAGAGGGGCCTTCCCAACCGGTGGCTGCCCGCCTTGGAGCAGTGACTGGCAACCTGAGAACTTCCTTCCTTCCCCTTTTTCAATTCATCTGACCCAGTCAAGGAGAAAGTCTCTGTTGGTGCTTCTCTGTATTTAACCCTTCCTGACATTTCCTATCTTCCTTTTTAAGGAAGAGAGAGGTGGCCTTAGGCTCAGCACCTTAAGCTGGAGACACTGTAGATTCCGACAGGATCTATTGGTCTCATTTGGTTTCATTGTATTTATTTATGTAAATAAATACAATTATCTACTGATTATGAATGGACTGGACGGATGTGCTGGATTTTCCGACTATGACAGTGATATATGTTTTCTTTCTCAACAAATGATCATCAGTTCTTTAAGAAGCTAGTCAATTTAAATGCAAATATTAAAGAAATAGTACAGGGTACCACACTATTGTGTAAACAATTAAAAAGTGGTCCTTGAATTATTGAAGATACTCACTTTACAGAGGGACTCAGGCTCATTAAGACCAAGTGAGAAAGGCCAGAGGAGACCAGCTTCCTCCCCACAGGTCTGCTGCCACACCAGGCTCCTTCCCCTCTGGGTGACACCTGACTTCTGGCTGGATGATTCTTCATGGGGCGGGGGGCGTCCTGCACACAGCAGCATGACCACCAGCATCCCAAGTCTCCACCCACCAGAGGCCACTGGCAGCACCTGCCCTCAGTTGTGACAAATAAAAATGTCTCTAGACTGTGCAAAATGCCCCCCCATTTTAGATCCACTGGCCTAAGCCATACCACTGTGGTCCTGGGTTTTCAAATGCCTTGCTGGCTTCAGAGATTTCCATTAAAGCAGCCCAGGCCCAAATACTTTGTACTGGATTCCACGCTTCTCCTCTTGAGAGTCTGTGTGCCATGGATGTCTGCCTCTCCTGTGGCACCCAGCACCATCCTATTAATAAACTATAACATAGAACCCATGGTGGGGGCACCCACTCAGCAGATACCTTAGACCCCTCAGGTCTAGACGCAGCAACCATTACCTGCAGTGCAGAGAGGCGCTGTGGGGTAGGTAGGGGGCAGCTCCGCCCCAGGCAGCCATTCACCTTCTCTACCACGGCCTTCAGCCACAGCTGGAACTCATCTACATCTGCCTGGTACTGTGCATGCTCCCCGGCCACCTGCTCCAGCAGGTCTACCCGGTCCTGTGGGAGGGAAGAACCATCAGCCATGAGGGTCTCCAGCCCAGTCTGCCCCTGGCCGTGGAGGCCAGAAAACCTTCAGCCTGCCTTTCTCTCTCTCTCTCTCCCTCTGTGTGTGTGTGCAGTATGTTGAGGGCAGATATACAGCCAAGCCTCAGCCCTTTCACTGAATACAAGGAGATCCCAGGTGCTCTGTTCTGCCATATCAACCAGTATTTTTCAACCTTTTTTTATCCCACACACACTTGAACCTACAGTTCCACAACACACTTAAATTATGTTGATTTTTAAAAAGTAAAAAAATAAAAGAATATACTTACTGTGCTTTAAACTTCTTTCAAAAATAATTTAATTAATGATCTTTAAAGATTTTCATAGCACACTGGTTGAAAATCACTGGCATAAGCAATATGCCAAGAGACTCTTAGCTTTGGAGACTAAAGCATGTTGGCACTGGGCTCTGCCAACTATGCAGCCATGTCCTAGTAATGGCGCTGAAGACTGGGACATGGTAACAGAGGTGACCACAGCAACATTAACACCACCACTACTACTACGTAACACTTACTTTTTGAGCCCCCACCAAAGTGCTGGGCACTTGCCCTAAGAACTTTACATGTATGATCTCATGAACTCTCCTGACCACCCCGTAAAGTGGCACCAGTCTGACAGATGAAGACTAGGACGCAGAGAGGTAAAGGGACTTGTCCAAGGTCACCTAGACGGGAAATTGCTAAGATCATAGCTCTAATACACAACAGTGTCTACAGTGTATGCAAATAACTGACAGGCTACTCCCATTTCCGCATGGGTTGGAATCATCTCTATTTTTAGCCAGTCCCACCAAAGGTCTGACCGTACAGGGGCAAGACAATAGTCTGAAGGTGGCTGACATTTGGGGAAATTACAGTGTCCCTGTTATCAGACCTATTATGCTCCTAGAAACTTAGTTTCTCCAGTTACAGCACTGTCTCCTTAAACACCTCAACAGTTCCCTACTGTTCCAGGCTTAAATCCAAGTTCCAAAGCCAGGGTTGTGGCTCCAACCCAGGCCCAGCCTTGAAGATGTAACTAACCCTCTGGGCCTGAGTCTGCTTGTCTGTCTGGTGCAGTTACAACAGCACCGCTCACCATCCTTAATCATCAGAGAAATGCAAATCAAAACTACTTTGAGATATCACCTAACTCCAGTGAGATTAGCCCATATCACAAAATCCCCAAACTAGACATGCTGGCGTGGATGCGGAGAAAAGGGAACACTTCTACACTGCTGGTAGGAATGCAACCTAGTACGCTCCTTTTCAAAAGACATCTGGAGAACACTTAGAGAACTAAAAATAGACCTGCCATTTGATCCTGCAACTCCTTTATTAGGTATATATCCAGAAGACCAAAAATCACATTACAATAAAGATATTTGTATCAGAATGTTTATTGTAGCCCAATTCATAATTGCTAGGTCATGGAATAAGCCCAAGTGCCCATCGATCCATGAATGGATCAATAAATTGTGGTATATGTACACCATGGAATACTATGCAGCCGTTAAGATAGATGGAGACTTTACCTCCTTCATGTTTACATGGATGGAGCTAGAAAATGTTCTTTTTAGCAAAGTTTCTCAAGAATGGAAGAAAAAGTATCCAATGTACTCAGCCCTATTATGAAACTACTTTATAGCTTTCATATGAAAGCTATAATCTAATTATAGCCTAAGAATATGGAAAGAGGGGAGGGGAGAGGAAGGGAGGGGGGTGGCTGGGTGGCTGGGTGGAGGGAGGGGGATTGAAGGGATGACCTCTATGGGTTATCTCACAAGGGTACAAGTGAATCTTTCTAAAAGTGGAATATGAACATCTTAACGCAATAACTAAGAAAATGACATGAAGGCTAAGTTAACCAGTTTGATGAAAATATTTCCAATTGTATATGAAAACACCACACTGTACCCTATGATTGCATTAATGTACACAGCTATGATTTAATAAAAAAAAATTTAAAACAAAGCAGCACCTGCCTCATTGGGGTGCAAAGACATGAAATGAGTCAGAATTCACACAAGCCCTAGAACAGTGCCTGGTAGTTAGTAAAACACCTACTAGCTGCGAGCCATTGTTGATCATCCCAATTTCCCCGTGTTCTTCTCACACCTCCAGAGGGTACCCACTTGGCAGTGCTAACCGCCAGCCTTCCCTTCTTTCTCTGAAGTCTTGCCCACTACCACAGGCTGAATTAAAAGTTCCCTCTGTGTTCCCCGAACACTGGGATCCAACTTTACGTGTATCACAGCACTTGTCTTTGCCATTGTCACCTACTGGGGGAACCAAGAGGGTCCCACAGACAAGGCTGCCTCTTGTTATTTCCTTCTCAGGGTCCAGCTTAGGGCAGGCTCTGTGAATGCATCCAGAGTGGCAGGAGGAATAAACCTGTTTGCCATCAGAGGGGAGTTTTCAAGGAAAGCCAAGAAAAGGTGACTCTCATTTTATAAGCACCTATGTGCGCCTGGAACTTGAAAGCATTATCTTATTTAACACTCAAAACAATCGGCTTGGCACCTGTGGCTCAAGAGGCTAAGGCGCCAGCCACATACACCTAAGGTGGCGGGTTCGAATCCAGCCCGGACCTGCCAAACAACAATGGCTGCAACCAAAAAACAGCCGGGCATTGTGGCGGGCGCCTGTGGTCCCAGCTACTTGGGAGGCCGAGGCAGGAGACTTGCTTGAGCCCAGGAGTTGGAGGTTGCTGTGAACAGTGAAGCCATAGCACTCTACCCAGGGGGACAACTTGAGGCTCTGTCTCAAAAAAAAAAAAAAAAATACTCAAAACAATCACAAAAAAAAAAACACTTTGCAAATGTCATGGGATGTCACATGACTTACGAGGACTTTACAGATGGAATCACATAGCAAGCGTCAAACTCCTAGATCACTGCTCGAGCCCAGGAGCTGCGAGACTGTTTCCATCAAGGCCGCCTAGAAATGCTTTCAGCTCTGCTTGCCATATGGTTTCCGTTGTAATTACTCAACAGCTCGTGTGGTACTTATGTTGAAGGACATAAGCAGATAACGTGTAAAGTATGGCTTTGTTCCAACAACACTTTAATTATGAACACTGAAATGTGGATTTCGTATCATTTTCACACATCGTGAAATATTTTGCTTTTCATTTTTCCCCCAACCATTTAAAAATGTAAAACACCCTTCTTAGCTCACAGGTTATACAAACAGAAGGTGGATTTGGCAGACGAACCATAGCTGGCTGACCTCAGAGCTTTACCATGGAGCTGGGTCATGTCCAGAGGGGTTCTGACCCTCTAGAAACTAAGTCAGAAGTTGTCAACTGGGAAGAGCAGACAGACAAGTGGATTTGAAAAGCTTCCCTAGTTATCTGTACATGCCTTCTCCTCCTTTGAGATGATCCCCACCAAATCTAGAAATACTGATAAGCTTTAACTTTTATAACCAATGAAGAAAATACCCCCATTTTAGAGATAGGGGAGCCCTTCTCTAATGACCGTTCAGTCATTAAGTCAACTAAGTTCTCTTAAAACACAGGTGCTGCTTGAATCTGAGTGTGGACCGTGACATGGGAGCAGTCTTCTTTGGGCTTCCTGCCAGCAGCCCTGAAGTCAGTGGTCAGTGCTGGGGCCTCCCTGGCTGGGTCCCTTTTCCTGAGGGCTCATTTACATCCATCAAAACCCTCCCAGAGCACATCTTCCATCTACAGGAAAGGCTCATTTATGAAACAAAGTGGTTCAAGAATAACAAGCAGAGACTGGTTGACACTGATGGTGATGGATGTGGCAGGGAAGCGAGCTCTCTCCTGAAGGTGCCGGCCAGCAGCTCAATTGTGTGAATGGTGAGGTGCTGGCACGCAGTGAGGTCCAGAGTAAATAAAAGTCTGCCTGATAGGGAGCAGGCACTCAAGAGTATACGGCAGGCAGGGCAGGGTTCCAGATGAGATCTGTGCCAGGCATAACAACTACAGAGCAGACTCCGGCCTGGCCGGGCCCAGCCACACCGAGGATGACAGGCTGACAAATGGGATGGTGCTCAACCTTCTCATTAGACCAAACAATTAAACCATCTGCGGCCAGGCAGAGTTGTCAGGACTGTCAAAACCTGACCAATTAACGGGGGCAGCGTGGATTTATGTCTCTGTGAAGGGCTGCATCAACAGCTATGATTCATGGCCAAGGTGCCAGGCAGACGAGCCTCCTGTGGAAGCCGCCGGGGAAGCAGGGAGATGGAGGATGTGCTGTTGGCCTGGCCTTTCTGAAGGTAGAATCAGTGGGTTAAAAAGTCCCAGCCCAACGGCCAGCCTGCTCTGTCTGTATTTCACTTGCAAATGCTTTAGGTTGAAATTAGACTGCTGCTCCTCTCTGGGCCTCACCTGGTGGCCTAATCAATAATCTCCTTCCAGGGGTTGGTCAAAGGCTATAGTCCAGAGAGGGATCTCTCAACACTAGAGGCTTTGCTAAGAAATATTCTGGATGTCACAAGTGGCTTTTATAATAAAATCAGGGAGGGGAAGACAAAATATACTTACTCTAGGCCAGGTCTTAAAATGTATGCTGTATAAGACTTAGTTTAACAAAAAAAATCTGTTTTAGAAATCTTTCTTTGACCATCTGACCTCCTTGGGTAAGGATGATCACTTCCTTCTTTGTGCCTCCCAAATGTTTCTTGCGTAAGATCCAGTAAAGCAATTATACCAAATCCGAGTTACTTAAACTTATTTATAAATTAATAAAGATGCAGGTATATAAGTGCCTTATAAAAAAAAGAAAGTGGTTTTTGGGTGGTGCCTGTGGCTCAGTGGGTAGGGTGCTGGCCCCATATACTGAGGGTGGTGGGTTCAAACACGGCCCCGGCCAAATTGCCACAAAAAAATAGACGGGTGTTGTGGTGGGCGCCTGTAGTCCCAGCTATTTGGGAGGCTGAGGCAAGAGAATCGGCTAAGCCCAGGAGTTGGAGGTTGCTGTGAGCTGTGTGCCATCACAGCATCTACCTAGGGTGATAAAGTGAGACTCTGTCTCTACAAAAAAAAAAAAAAAAAAAAAAAAAGTGGCTCTTAGAGGTGAAACACTGGCCTGTTACTTAGCATGAGGAATGGGGGCCTCTCCCTGCTAAGAGGTATTAATATGTACCTCGGCCCAGAGAACCTCCTTACCCTGAGGGTAGGCCTGGACCCCTGAGAGGACACCAGGCCTGATCCTTAAAGGGCCCTTACCTCGTCACTGGGGTAAAAGGACTGTCTTGAGGGACAGCTCTGGAAAGAGAACTGATGTCCCAAGGGGCAGCACTGGAGGGAGAACTGCTGTTAAGCCTGCCCTTGCCCCTTGGGACTTGGCAGGGCCAGATGAAGGCCACTGGCTACAAGTGCAGGAGCCAGGTCTGCCCCCTGCTTTGCCTACCCATTTGGGTCCCTATGCAACCACTCTGGGAACCTCTGGCCACTCCCCCTGGAGCCCTGGGTGTAGCTTGCTTTCAAACTGCAGGGGTGGGGTTCTCATTCATTCAATAACTAGCTCCAAGCACCTGCTGTTTGCCAAACAGCATTGTTGATGCTATTTATTCTCACTGCTACTGACAACAGAGGGGATCCTTTATATTGGGCAATGCTTGCCAGTTTTCAAAGAGTTCATATGTAGCTTATAGCCTCAAGACCTGGCTACAGGGAGGGCAAGCTGTCCTCGTGGCACACAGCTGGGAAGCAGCAGTGCCTGACTCAGAACATAGGTCTCTTCCCAAGATTCTAGGGGCCACAGCTTTGTTCTTAATGGATTTCTTTTCTCTGTGCATTATCTAATTTATTTCCCTTAAACCGTCAGCATGAAGAACCCAGGGGACTTCTAGTTCCAGCACTATGGCAGACTAGATAAACTGAATGCCCTGCCCCTACAGAGAGCTAGAAATACTGGATATAATATAAAAAGCACTGTTAAAATGCAGGCCCATGTCACACCAAGGTAAGGGATGTCCCCATGGACAAGAAGTAAAGATGCTATGGATGCCAGCCTGTTAAACTCACATGTGTGCTCGAAATCTAGGTTACTAGAAGCTTATGTTTAACGCTCAAGCTTGAATAAGAAGTACCACTTTGGACCCAGAGGAAGCAGAGACCACTGCAAAACTGCAGAACCTCAATTAGCCATCCCCAGCCACCCAGCCAAAGGGCGAACTAGAAAAAAATCCTTCCATAAACATAACAGGAGAAAGGAGCTTCCACGGTTCAGCCTAAGCTTTAAAAACAGTCCAAACAAACAAACAAAACCCCAGTAACTGTTTAGAATATGGAGTGAGGAGCTTGTTGCATGATACTGACTTGGGGCTCACATTTAGGGCACCCATTTGATTCAGAATCCCCCATGTTAGTACATTGACACAAAAATAGAAACCATGAAGCAAACACCAAGCCACCTTCAGGGAACGTCCCAGCCATGGGATTCTGCAGATGAAGCCCTGTTTAGGACGACCCCACAGCTCAAAATTACAAAGACCCCAGACAAACAATCTACCATGTCAGGAGACACAACAGAGAACAGCATTAGGCCCTGGAACTTCAGCTACCAGCACAACCTGATGGGGACTGTAAAGTAGGTATGCTCAGAATGGTTAAGAACATAGCTGTGGCTTGGCACCCGTAGCACAGTGGTTACAGTGACAGCCACATACACCAGGGGGTGGGTTCGAACCCGGCCTGGGCCAGCTAAACAACTGTAACAAAAAAATAGCCGGGCGTTGTGGCGGGCACCTGTGGTCCCAGCTATTTGGGAGGCTGAGGCAAGAGAATTGCTTAAGCCTAAGAGTTTGAGGTTGCTGTCAGCTGTGACACCACTGCACTCTACCAAGGGTGACATAGTGAGACTCTGTCTAAAATTAAAAAAAGAACACAAACTGTGTCTGGGAAGAAGGCATTTCAGGGAAAAAGGCATAATTAAAAAACAAAATAGAGCAGATAGACATAGTAAAGAACCATATAGTATTTCTAAATAAGTAATATTAGAACTTAATAACTCAATGAACTGTTTCAAAATTAAGGCAAGCATGAGGTGAAGGAATGCAAACAAAGGCTGGACAGAGGGATGGGGGAAAGGGCAAGAGAGAGCAGAGGAGGAAACACTAGAGGACCTAGAGGACGGGCAGGAGGAGAGAGGGAAGGGAGGAGGGAGGGAGGAGAGGAGAGAGGCTGTTCTGGTGAGAGCAAACATCACAGTCTATCAGCCAGCCATCATCACACCTTAATGTGATTAAGCACTGAGCAAGGGATGTCTGGATGTAGATAAGGGGTGGATAGGTGGGTGGAAGGCAGCCTGTTGGATGGGCAGTTAGATCATGGGTGGTTGGTTGGATAAACAAGTGGGTGATTGTAGGCAGTAGATAGTAATTAGACAGTGGAGAGATGGGAGGAGTGAATAGTAGGTGAAAAGGTGAGTGGGTTGACAGGTAGGTGAATGAGTAGATCAAAAGGTGAGCAGGTGATTAGATCAGGTGAAGAGATGAATAGGAGATTGCTGAGGCTGGTGGAAAGGTAGATGGATGAGTGAGTCCATCAAATGAGTGAGTCCAACAAATGTGTAGGAGGAAGAAGTCAGGTAGGCAAGTGGACGGGGTGACAGGTGGGTGGACGGTGACTGGGAGATTAGTAGTTTAATGGGGGGAGATAGACAGGTGAGTAGATGGATGGTTGGGAGGGAGGGTGCCTGGAAGGTGGGTGAGTGATAGTGAACAGGTGAATAATTAGACTGATAGTGGGAAACAGGTGGCTGGATGGGTAGATGGGGTGGATAAGTGAATGGGTGGGTGGAGACAGAGCCCAGCAAGCCTCACCTGAGCTTTGGCCTTCACTGTGTCATACTCGGCCTTCATCCTCTTTTGAGCATCTTCGTCCACACTGGGGTCCCCGATCCTGTTGAACAGGGAGGCAGCCTCCTCCAGCAGCCGGTCCAGGAGCACGGCCTGGCTGTCCACGTTGTGCAGGAGCACCTGGGCATGGCTCAGCTGCCACTGCTTCTCCTTCAGGCCCAGCTGTAGCTCCACTGGGGGCTCTAGTGTGACTGTCATCTTCTGGAACCAGCGGTAGAACTCATCTCGGGCCAGCAGGTACTCACTCCAGTGCAGCCACACCCACTCAATGCGGCTGTTGGCAGAGACGGCAGCCATGAGGGAGCCCATCTGCTCCTGCTGTGGCCCTCCCCAGTACCAGGGGGCTGTGGGATAGGGGCACGATCATGCCCTCTCTATCCTCAGAATCACCTGGGCAGCTGGTTGCCAGCTAGATTCTAGGCCTTCCCTCAGTCCACCTGAACAAGACCCCTATCCCCTGTGCAGTGACCTCTATCCCTACCCTCTCTGTCCAGATGCCTCAGAGTCCAGACTTGGTCCCAGAACCACCAGCACTGGGCAAGCAGCCTGGGGAACCTATCTCTTCCAGCACCCCAAATTCCAGCCCTTGTTCCCACTGTCTATGCACAGACACTTCCAGTTGCTTTTCTCTGGTGTTGGGACTCTGAACACAGTTGTCCCCAACCCTTAGCACATGCACATCCTGTAACAGCCAGGAAAGACATTCTCTGGAAATGTGTGCAGTCACTTACCATGTCATCTGTGGGTTTGTCACACACAGTAGGGATGGAAGGCTGGGGGCCTGCACATGGGTTCCAGGGGCTGTGTGGACTCCCTTGTAAACCTGCCTCTTCACCTACCTCAGTTTCCCAGCCTGTAACATAGAGGCGGCTCTATCTCTCTAATCAATATTAAACCATTCGTTTGGAATTCCAAGCACAAGGGTTTAGGAAGAAGAAAGCACTGTGCAAATTTCCTTCCTGTCTCCACTCCCATTCTAGCCTTACAGGAATGGAGAGAGTACACTAGCAGCTCTTGTTTACTGAGGGCCTACTTTGTGCCAAGCACTGGGCCTTGCTCTTGACATTTACTGCCTCTTCCACCCTCCTGACACACTTCGAAGCACCTGATTACCCCCATTGTCCAGAGGAGGCACTTGGCAGTCCTCCAAGAAGGACTGCTAAGCTCAGGGAGGTCAAGTAACTTTCCTAAGGCCACAATGGAAGTGATCAGCAGGACAGGAGTCAATGCCGCATCTGAGTCTCTGCTCCTCCCCCTGCTCCACCCAAGTACCACTTGGCTCCCTGGTACCAGGAGGGAATCTGGGCTGCAGTGTCGGCAGGCAATGGGCCTTCTTTCTCCAGAGCCATCCTGCCATTTGGCTGAAACCCTTATATGTGGCCAAGTCTACTAAGAAGTGTTGGGAAGACATGCTGGGAGCCCAATGTCTATTATTGTCATTAAGCTGGATTATAATTAGAAAGAGGCAGGCAAGACTGGCCCAAATCCCAAGAGAACATCCTGTCCCCAAAAATCTAAGGACTGGAAAAATGTCCCCTGAGCAGAGGTCCCTGGTCCTGGCTGTGTTACCTGTGACAGTGAGTCATGTAGGTGACCGTTTCCTCCCATTGGGCCTTGATGTCCTTCAGCCGGGCCAGGATCTCAGGCTTCTGGTCCCTGGGGCAGCATGCTAAGAGGGCTTCAGCTGCCCGCAGCACCAGGTCCACCTTCACACGCCCCGCAGGCTCCAGCTGGCATATTTTCTGTTGTGGGCAGAAATGCCAGTTTCCAGGGTTAGGCAAAATGCAGAGGGCACAGCCTTGGGAAGACAGTGGTATGGCACAGGAAGCCAGGACTTGAGGCTGTGATGTGAGCCTCAGCACCTGCACCCTTTCTTCCGGTGCCATGAGCAGCTTGCGGTTTGAGGGTGGGAGGCGGGAGCCTCAGAGAACAGCCCTGTGCCATCCCATGAGACTAAATTCCTTTTATTTCCAGTGGTGTGAACTCAGACACGGTTCATTCTCTCCTTGGACTGGTAAGGTGGAGGTATTAAGAGTATTTACCTTTCAGATGTTTGGTCAGGATTAAATGATAAAATGCACGTAAAGTGCCTGTCACAGAGTGCATCTGAGTGGGACTGCCGGGAACCAGCTCGACCAGGGGCCCCAGCTGAGGCTCTGGAATCAGCTCTGCTTTGGCAGGTCACAGCAAGATCTTGCTCCTGAGGCTGCTCCCCCCAGAGACCAAGAACAGACAGTCCAGTCCTGGGAGATGCTGTGAGAATGACTTTAACTCAAGGACAGCTTATAGCTGTCCACAGCAATCTGAGATGACTCCACACGCCCCCACCAGCCTTCCTGCTCTCCTGGCCTTGGGGTGATACCTGCATCCCTCTCACCCTGTTGTTCCTAGACTCTCCCAGGTCCCCGTCTCCAGCTTCTCTCAGCAGAGGTTCCCCTAATAAATGTCACATACATTTAATCTCATCTTGGAGTCAGCTTCTTGGAGGACTAACACATGATGTCCTGCAAATAGTCTACAATTAACATTAGCTATTGTCATTATTCGTTATTATTCCAGTTCATTGGTAGCTAAAGTTTAGTCTCTGTAGTGAAATATGACTAGATTCCAATTCCAAGGCCACTCCCTGCTACCCGTGTGACCTTTGTCATGGGGCTTAACTCCTCTGTGCCTATGAAATGGGAGATCACATTTGTGCTGCCAGGGTTATGGTAAGCATTAGGCAATGCAGGGAGAGCTGTTAGCACGCTGCCTGGTCCATGCCACATTCCTAGTCACTAATTGTTGACTATTACTATTATCTTTTCTCTTTTGAGACAGGGTCTCACTCTGTTGCCCAGGCTGGAGTACTGTAAGTAGCATGGTCATGGCTCACTATACCCTCAAACTCCTGGACTCAAGTCATCCTCCTGCCTCAGCCTCCCAAGTAGGTGAGACTACAGGCCGCATCACCATACCCAGCTAATTTTTAAAAAAATTTTTTGTATAAACAGGGTCTTGCTATGTTGTGTAGGCTGGTCTTAAACTCCTGGCCTCAAGCCATCCTCCCACCTCAGCTACCCAATGTTCTGGGATTACAGGTGTGAGCCCCTACACCTGGGCATTGTCATCTTTTACTTGCCTTTGGGTCTGTACTTCTTGACAGCACACATGCCTAAAGCTCAAGCTCAGATCCCCAGCCTGTCTCCCTGGTGGCTGGCGGTCCATTTCCTCAGACTGATGTCCCAGTGGCATGGCTGTCTCTGACCCTTCTCTGTGGGTAAGGTGGGGGATGGGCCCCTGAAATGTCAAATGCTGCCCCGCTGATGGTTGTGCAACCCCAGGCAGGTCACTCAACTACTCTGGGTCTTCCTTTCTTATCCTGAGACCGTGATGACAATCTGTTATGTTACTTCATAGAGCTATAATATTAATTTTTTAAATACTATTAATTAAAACATGGATATAAGCTAGGATACTGTGCAAACTATTAAGCAATTGGGCACTGGTCCCAACCTTTTTTGTCATTTAGCATGATAATGATTAATGATAATGATGATGATGGTGGGGGTGGTAGTATAGAGGGAGTGAATTTGATGCCTCTCTGCTAAAGGGAGAGGGGACTGGCTGGTCCAAAGGCAGGCAGAACCCAGCCCTACTTAACCCAAAGCAGAAATACCTGCCCTGAAATACAGACCAGTGTGATGTTTGCTGTGGGCCTGAAGCCAAGAGGGGCCAGAGGCCATGGCAGAGCTGCCAAAGCCAAATTTCGAGAAGTAGATCATACCCTCCTTCACTGCCCTGATGATTCTGCTCTTGGCTGGCATGTGAGGCCAGTCCCTCACCAGCAAGGATGTGGTCCAGAAGTGCTTGGCAGAGGCTGCTGTGCCCATGGGGAAGGAAGTGCCAGAACTGCAGCCACAAAATTATTCCTATTTGAAGCAGCCAATGAGGGCAACGGTAATGTGGGGATCGGAGGAAGGGAAAAACCTTGGGGAGAAGAGAATCAGAAGCCCAGGAAAGTGGAAGAATAAGGTTTATCAGGGTTTTTTCCTCCACACAGCCAAGACCAGTGACAAGCAGCTGAGCAGTATGCTGGGCGCAAGGGTCCTGGATAAAAAGGACAGTGCCGGCAATGAACACAAAAAGAGCCATAGGAGACCACAAAGCATTATGGAGCTCAAGGAGGGATGGAGAAATCAAGAAGGCTTTGGGGAGAAGGTGGCCTTGGCAAGTAAGCACAGAGATAAGGCAGATAATAAGAGAAGGAGGCTTGTGCAAAGATATAAAAGCAAGACATATTTAGGAAGGGTCCATCTGCCTGTTGGAAGCCAAGCCTCTGGAAATGCTATGTGCCCCCGACCAGGAAGAGGGCCTAGAAGCCTGTGAGGAAGCTACGTGGCTGAGGACACAGGTGCAAGACTGGGGAGACTGGGAACCAGACAGCAAAGAAAATGACATGCAAAACCAGCCTCCAGGGGCCGGGGGCTGGGCAGGAACAGTGCACATGGTATATACCCCAGCATCTAAAACCACAGGAAACAACGGCCCCTGTGTGGCCAGCTCTGCAAGAATGCCCTGCCCTGGGCCACCAAGTACATCCGTAAGTTATTTGTCTTAGTACCTTCCCTCCTTCCCGCAAGACAGCAAATCTCCCTTTCCCAGGAGCAAGCTGAAACCTAGGGAGCTCTGGAAAACTCTCCTGAGTTGCCATAGCCTAGCAGACATTGGAGACCAGGCCTCCTGGCCCCCACACCCAAGCTCTCTACTTCTGAGCCCGGTGGGCTCTCCGGGCACCTTTGCAGAAGGTGTTCACCTCCTTGAGGATTCTCAAGTCTCCCCAACCTTTTGGCAACACAAGAAGGGAGGAGATTCTTCCCCTACTTCAGAGATGGGGAAATGAGGTTCCGGGAGGGCCTGGGGACCCATTCCTGGGAATACAGCTACTAAAGGGCAGAACTGGACTGGAACCCATGTCCTTGGCACTGTGGCAAATGGGCCTGGAGACAGAATGTCCTTAACTGAGTTGGAGAGGACTCACAAGAGGGAAGGTCCATGGGTAGGTGGGGAAGGCACTAGCTGTTCCCACTCCCCAGTCGGCAAGAGAGAAATATTTTCTTTCTGATTGTGAAATCAGTTTTGAAATGGCAAAGTAAGTAGAAAATGTGCCTGAACCTTCTGGGAGGAAAAAGTGGCAGAGAACCCAGGACAGGACTCCCCTCTGCCTGGACTCACCTGGGGGCTTACCTGATAGAAGTTATGCCTTTGCTTTCCAGGGCACGTCCTCCCTGGCCTAGCTGACAGCTCTTCCTAAGAGCCACCCTCACCTTTGCTTAAGCCAGACCCACCACCAGGAGGTAAAAAGCTTCCAACGAAAGGTACAAGTTCCAAGTACTAAGTGCCCTGAGACAGTGAGTACACGTGCAGGGCTGTGGTGCTCACAGACAGAGCAGGGCAGGTGTGGGGCTGAGAGAGGAGAAAGGACGGTCAGAAGAGACTCATGGACAAGGGAGTGTTTCATTTTTCATGCACACCCAGACCAAACAAAACAGCATTCCAACTAGAGGCAACACACAAAGGCTTGATGACAGGAAATCAAAGAAGTTTTCTGCCAACAGGAGATAGGTGTGAGCTTGGGAGGTGTGTGACAGTTGGGGGAACTAAGGCTGGAAAACAGATAGATAGATAGATAGATAGATAGATAGATACAGTGGAAGACTTTAGATGGCAGGGAAAATTTGGTTTTTCTTTGGTGGGCAATGGGGAGCCATGGAAGGTTTTAGAGGAGGAGAATGGCATCATGAGACCCATGCTAGGGATGCTGTTCATACACGCTTGTGTGGCTGCCTTGGTTATTTGCACACTTATCTCCCCTTAGGCTGTGAATCCTCAGAGAGTGCCTCACCTGCCTCTATAGCCCCAGGTCCTGGCATGTGGATGGCAGAAAGAAAGGGTGGTCCTCTCTTTTGTGATCTGTCAGGGAGGTTTCCCCACTGGATGGGGAGCTGAACAGAGAAGAGAGCTAGACTGGGAGTGGGAAAGCTCTCCAGGCAGAGAGGATGGTATGTGCAGACTCAATTTCCCTGACTGCAAAATGCAGACAGTGCCTCCTCCCTCATGATGTTCTGGTGACGCTTAAACCAAAAATTAAATGTGAAAAGTGATGTAAATCCTTAATTTTTACTGTCTACTTCTAAAAATAAAGCACGAGATATTTATAAAAAAATGCAAAAAATCAATAAGACAACACACAAAGAGGAAACACACAGAGAACCAGAGATGAGGTCACCATCACTTCCAGCCGGCCACAGGAGAAGGTGGGCTCTTCCCTAAGAGCAACTATTGTTGGATGATAAATTAGAATTGTGGGATATCTAAATGGACATATGCCAAAGTGTGTATAAGTCAACTGCTTCACTTACAGATGGGAAAATGAGGCCCAGAGAAGGACAGGTGCTTGGCCAAGATCACACAGCACTCTAGCTTCAGGACAGAGTGTAAATCAGGTCTCTGACTCAGTTCAGGGCTCAACCCCCTTGTGCCCTGGCAACCCAGTCTCAGAATGGGGCAGCATGATGTCTGCCCAGGCACTGGGCACCAGCCCTTTAGTGCTGCTTGGACTAAGGCCCTGCCTTGTGTCATGTGGGTGGGTAGAGTAAGACCTGGCTCTAAAGGAGCCCAGGGCATCACTCCCATCACTGAAAGAGCCCCCTAACTACCCTGCTGAAGGCAGACCTGGGCCAACCCAGACCTAGCAGGGGCCCCAGCCACACGGAAACAGGGAAGGGGCAGAAAGCCAGGCCGGGGGTAACTGGGGAAGCCGGACCTGGCTGCACAGGAGCCCCTGCCAGGATAGGAAGGTCAAAGAGCATGCTTTAGTCCCTTCCCACTGAGTGTGGCCCACTGACCAGCAACAACAGCATTACCTAGAACTTGTCAGAAATGCAGACTCCTGAGCCCTACTTCCATCTACCTGAAAGAATCTGCATTGAAACAAAATCTTCTGGAGATGTGTATACACTTCCAAGTTAGAGAAGCCTAGCCCACCCCTGCCATTTAACAGACAGGGAATCTGACACATGAGGGGTGTGTCCCAGGCCTCTGCGTACCTCTGTCTCCCGGAGCCTGGCCTCCAGGGCTGCTCGGGGCCCCTGGGTGTTGTCATTGACCTGCAGCCGCTCCTGCACGGCCTTCATCCATGCCTGGGCATCCTCCACGCTCCTGTCGAAGCCCTCCTGGGGCTGCTGAGTCATGGCACCTGCACGGGCTGAGGGAAGGACCACAGGAGATCAGCAGGGGCTGTGGGGAGGCCCCCAGGCAAGCTGGTGGGTGGGGGACAGGCCCACACCCCACCACCAACATCCTCCCTGTATTCCCAGTTGGGCGATACAGCCAGAGGCCTATGTGTTTGTCAAACAGCCAAGGCACTGGAGATGGCAAGAAGGAGAACAGGTCTGGCCTCTCTCTGTGGCTGAGCTGAGAGAGTGAGCCTGGGGTGCCAGGCGGGCAAATAGTCTCTCTCTTCGGCCTATCAGCTCTCTGCTATCCCCTCTTCCACCAGCTTGGAACTCCTTGGCAATTCTCTTCTATCTGTTCAGGCTGAAGGCCTCCAACAGAGGCTCTGTAAGCATCATCTGAGATATCTGGACCCATCATGAAAATTGATTGGAACAGATCAAAGAGGTCTCATCCTAAGGAACACAGTTTCAGGCATCACAGGAACTGATGCCGGGTCTGAGCTTCACTTGAGGTCAGTGACCCTCTCGGGCTGGGGACAGCCATGTTAGCAGTGTGTTGTCCCTCCTTCTCCATCACTCTGGGTCCACTGCAGCTGCCAGTTACCTGGCTTAGTGCAAGCTGTGCAGCCCACTTGCTGCTTCTGCTTCCTGCTGGCATAGGTCACCCTCCAAACCAACCACCTCTGCTAGACTGCCCATTCCCCGGCTTACCCTAGGCTGTGGCTACAAAGTCTCAGATTTTTCTCCTGTGACTTTCTTTTTTCTTTTCTTTTCTTTTTTTTTTTTTTTTTTTTTTT